AGGGTTGTTTTTTTCTCCTTCTTTGACCCTCTACTTTACCAGCCATGATGTCCTTCTGCAGGACTGGTCCTTCCTGATAACATGCACACGAGACCAAGTCTCGTTGTCCTCACTTCTAAAGAGCATTCTGGCTGTATTTCTTCCAACCTAGCTTTATTCGTTCTTCTGAGAGCCCATGACACTTTCAATATTCTTCTCCAACGCCATAGTTCAAAGACATTCTTCTTTGACCTTCCTTATTCATTACCCAACTTTCACAGGTATGTGAGGGGAGTGAAAACACCTTGGCTTGGGTTGGGCGCACCTTAGTCCTTTAGCTCTTCACATGTGTTCTCATGGTTGCGCCATCTTTACATCCGTGGTCGTTAACAGGTATTCCTCCAATCCTGATGCCCAGTTGTTCTTTAGCTAGTCTCGCTGCTTGGATTATTTACTTCTTTTACAGAATGGGTAAATGTAGTGAAAGGATACAATGCTGATGCATGCACACCTTGCTTGATTTTAAACCATGTAGTATCTCATTGTAATGTTCAAACAACTGTCTCTTTGTCTATTTACAGATTCTTCATGAGCATAATGAAGTGTTCTGGAATTTCCATTCTCTTCAAATTTATTACATAATTTGCTATGTTCCAAACAATCGAATGTCTTTTTCTAGTTAATAAAGCATAGGAAAACATCTTTCTGATATTCTCTACACTTCTTAAAAAACCATGGATATCAGCAATGATATTCTTCCACGGCCTCTTCTAAATCCAGCTGAAAAGTTTTGACAGTTCCCTGTCATATGTATTGCTGCAACCATTTTTGAATTATCTTCAACAGAATTTCTTTGGAATTCGTCTTTTCCTTGGAATGGGCACAAATGTGAATCTCTTCTAGTCAGCTTGTGTGCCTTCTAATTCCTTGGCACAGACAATGTTTCCAGCGTTGTATCCATTTGTGGAAACATCTCGATGGATGTTTTGTCATTTCCTGGAAGCTTGTTTTTCCCCAGTGCCCTCAGTGTAGCTTGGACTTCTTCTTTCAATATCATCAGTTCTTGATCATATACTAACTCCTGAAATACCCTGATGTCAACCAATTCTTTTTGATACAGAAACTTTTTACTTCTCTGTCTTGTTTTTGGTGTTTCCTGTCTCATTCAGCATTTTGCCCATAGAATCCTTCAATACTCAAGGCTTGAATTTTGTTAGTTCTTTCAATTTGAAAATTCTTTCTTTCCTTTCTTTTTTTCCTTTGAGATTTCTAAGGTCCTTCCACATTTCTTTAGAATAATTTATCTTCCCGGATGCCATTTGAAATGTTATGTTCAGCTCTTTTACTTCATCTTTCTTCCATTTGCTTTAGCGTCTCTCTGTTCAGGAACATGTTTCAGAGTCTCTTCTGATATCCATTTTGGTGTTTTCTTTATTTTGTCTTTTTTCATGATCTTTTGTTCTCTTCGTGTATGTTGCTCTTGAGATCAACCCACAACTCACCTGGTTTTCAGTCATTAGTATTCAATGTCCCAAATCTATTCCTGAGACGGTCTCTGCATTCGGTGGGATAGATCCAAGGGCATACTTTGGTTCCTGTGGACTTGTTAGAATTTTCTTTAGCTTTAATGTGAGCTTCCATATGAGCAATTGATGGTCTTAGCTACCATTAGAACCCTGGTCTTGTTCTGAGTAATATTAAGCTTCTTCATTGTCTCTGTTCACAGATGTAGTCAATTTGATTCTTTGTGCATCTAGTGATGTACTCAACTATAGGAACTGGTTTTGCAGTTGAAAAAAAGGTATTTTCAATGTCTATGTTGTAGGTCTTATAAAATTCTATCGTATGATCTTTGCATTGTTTCTACCACCAAAACTCTATTTTCCAACTATTGATTCTTCTTGTTTTCAACTTTTGCATTTCAACCACGAGTAACTATCAATGTGTTTTGATTACTTCTGATCTACTTCAGACTCCACAAGTTGTTGAAAATCTCACATTTCTTTACCTTTAGTGTAAGTAATTGCTTTGTAAATCTGAATAATTGTGTTGTTTGGGTTGTTTTTTTTTTTGTAAGCACATATAGCATTGTACTTCAGGATAGAACCTAAAATGCTCATTTTTACAATAAATGTAATGCTGGTCCTCTTCAATTTGTCTTTCCTGGTATAATAAGCCAGATGAACATCTGATTCAAAATGGCCAGTACCAATCCATTACAGCCTTGGGGATGCAAGAAGGACTTCTACTATGCCCCATAAGTTCACTATGAGTCAGAGCAGACTCCATAACAATGGGTTTAATGCCTTGAATATCTATCTTCAAATGTTCCATTTCATTTCATTGTGCCTATATTTTTGTATTATTATTAAATGACCATTTTATTGGGGGCTCATACAACTCATAACAATCCATACATCAATCGTATCAAGCATATTTGTACATATGTTGTCATCATTCTCTTCTAGACATTTACTTTCTATTGAGCCCTTGGTATCAGCTCCTCTTTTTTACCTCCCCCCTCACCTTCATGACCCCTTATAAATGATAAATTATTATTATTTTCATATCTTACACCAACCACTATCTCCCTTCCCCATGGTTTCTGCTGTTCGTCCCCTTGGGAGGGGGTAAGAGGGGGGTTGGTTATGTGTCGATCATTGTGATTGGTTCCCCCTGCCTCACTTGTGCCTCTATTCTAATACATGTACATATGTGACTATATACTCGTTTTGTTTTGTGTAGTCATTGTTGATGTGATACTGTGGGAATTCTTATACACTGCTGGTATGAGTGAAAATTGGCACAACCACTTATGAAACGTCTTTGTCGCTACAGTTGAATATAGGTCCTTCTCAATCTAGCAACTTCACTGTAGACCTCTGAGTGAACTAACAGAAATCCATCTACATATTCATAAATGATTTGTATGAGCAGCACTGTTTGTTATAACCTAGCATTTAAACACAGCCATATAATGTTCAATAATAAGGTAGAATAAATTGTAGCATATTCATTCGTACAACAAAATGCTCTATGGCAGTGCCAATGAATGAACTTCCACAGGCATTCATGCATGTCACAATCATACTGTTAAGTGAAAGGAGATGTACACAAAAGGTATATACCATGGAATTTAGTTTATACGAAGTTTGAAAACAGGAAAAACTAGCTTGAATTGTTACAAGTCAGTAGTTACCGCTGGGGATGAAGGAAATGGTACTCATGAGGGACAATAAGGGCTAACTTTAGCCAAAAGATGGGCAGTTTGATCTACCCAGAGTAACCTTGAGAAGCCTAGTGAGCTACTTAAAACCCAAAGGAGCACAGTCCGACTCTGATAAATACTGGCGTCATAAGCAATTCTACAGCAATTGATTAGTCTAGGTGTTGATAATGTTCTGGATCTAGTGATGGCTATATAAGATGAGCTGACTCTGAAAACACATCAAGTTTTACAATTAGGATTTGTACATTTTATGTATTTAATTCAATGATGTTGGGGTGTGTGTGTGAGAGAGAGAGAGAGAGAGAGAGAATTGAGAATCAAAGGTAGCTCTTCCAGGAGCTATGACTAACCATACTTTCGGCAACGAGACCATAGAAAAACAACTCTCCCACACACTGTAAGATGGTCTGGTTGTCTATGCTCTGTCTAGCTCAAGATTTAAGCGTGTGTGGTTCCCCTTTGCTCAGACCTCAAAAGTATTCATGAATGTTGGCTGGTGAATTGCTTCTTAGGCCTGTAAATACAGACTCATCCTGGTCATACTATTTGTTGTACTTGGATCTTACCAGCATCACCCAGGTGCCTTTAGGCACATGGATCTATTTAGTTATATAAAAGTTTACATTTACTCTGCATTCATTTACAGAAGTAAATCAAAGCGGTAGTTGGATGACTGGCAACTGAGCCATATTTTTATGTCCAGAATCAGAATCTGCTATTATATCTAGAGGTGACCTATCCTTCACAACATTATTTGAGCTGATTAAATTTCCCAAAATAGTAAGCTTAATTTAGTTTGGTCAGGAAGGACATTAAATATGGAGACATAAAAATCCACTTAACTGTGACATTTCTATCCCACTTGTGCCAGGTCTAAGCAGGTCAAACATATCTCCCTAGCTTGACAGCGGCATGTCACAAAGGCACTGCTTTGGCCCACACTTTTGCTTACCGGTGGTGTTCAAAGCAATAGGTTAATAACCCTGTTCTCAAAACCTGTTCTAGTAGCTAGCAAATGGGTGCTGTGCTAAGGCAGTGCTTTTCAAATCAAGAATTAATTTGAACACTTTGGGTTAGAAATTCAGGTTCAGAAGTTCAGAGTTGAAGACATGGAATGTCCCCCGGGAGGGGGTGGGTGGGATCTGGGAATGTAAGCAAACAGCTCTGTGCAATACTGGTTATTTAGGAGCAGGATAGGGGAACCAATCATACCTTTATTTGAAAGTGACAGTCTTGGATAGCAAGAGTCAACTTTTTGTCTTTTTTTAAATAACAAAAAATTAAATTCTGAAAAAAAGTTAATTTATGTAATAAGTATTCATGGGTAAATTACAGATTTTAAAGAATTTCCAGGACTCTTTTGTAAATTATTTTTTAAATATTCCATTTAGAGAAAGTGATCCTTCATCTCCTCTTCAATAGTAAGGATAATTTTTATGAAATATAAACTTTCCAACTAGATACTCTTATATCTGCTGCTTCCCAATTTTAGGCTTAAACTTTTGTATGCTAAGAGCTGTGGTTAGAATTGTCGTCACAAATAAAACCTGAAATTAAACTCAATATGAAAATATAGAAACCGATTCAATGTAACCCTTTTAACCATTGGCAAGAATATATATTGTAAAATGCACAATTTAAGGCAGAAAATAAGATAGTGTAGCTTGTAGAAAGAATCTTTTCCAGGAGAATATTATATATTGTTTTTGTCAGAACCTCCAGTCTTATTAATCCTTTCCTTTGATGTGAAACATTACACAGTCATTAAAGGAAGATTGCCTGGAAAATTTACCTTTCCTTGTGAACTCCTGTAACCCTGCAGGCACCAACCTCATTTGACACTTGCCTCTGTACAGATGGGCTGAGTTGCTGTGTGGAAGAAAGTCCTTATTTAGGACACAGGAAAGCTAGTTTTCAGGCCCAACGTGACGCGTATGCTTGTGATTCAGCTGGCAGGGGCTTGTTTTCCTTATTTTGCTAAAAGAGACAAGGCCGAGCAGCTGGCTACAATGATTTCTAGGTCTGTTCCAGTTCAAAACCTCCCCGTGTTTGTGTTTTGTTTTGTTCTTTTTGCTTTGGGGGGGTCTGCATGAAAATTATACTGAAAAAAGTACACTAGGTTATTTGCCTTGCAGTTGATTTTGCACACTAGTTTTTACTACATAGTAGATTTTAATCACTTAGATCTGGTTGTGGGTGGAGAGGCTAATGGGCATTCTGAGAGAGCAAAACCTCCTACCCAAGCCACCCCTTGGGACTCGATGGTTCTCTTCTCTAATAGGTTGTAAGTTGAAACAAGACGTACATTTGCCCCCATCTCCCCATGGCAGGCAGTGGGTGCTCTGTAAATTATCTGACTGATTTTCATTCCATTAGAGATTAAACTATTTTCAAGAATTTTCTGGCACCAAAATTAATCTGTAAAATTTATTCCTTTTACAAACATTAGGATTATAACTGTCACAAACAAGATGTCTATTGAAAACTATATTTTAAAGGAGTTCTTTGCAGAGCTTTCTGCAAGATGATTAGTGTTTATTTCTACAATAGCAAATAAATGATGGCGGTTAGTGGCCACATCACGTGTGCAGAGTGGGACTGTGTTCCACGGGGTTTCGCGGCTGTTGTCTTTTGGAAGCAGTCACTCAGCCTGTCCTTTAGGTTGCTCTGGGTGGGCTCAAGTAACCAGCCTACCTACTAGTGGAGGGCTTCACCATTTGTGCCACCTAGGGACTCCTGACAAACACACTACCTGACCTAAAATACATTCCCTGAGTGTTACAGTAACAAAGCAGCGTTTATGAAGTGTATCAGTCTGCCAGGTGGGGTTGCAAGGCAAATTGTAGCATTCTATTCACTCTGCCTTTTAGAATCAAATGTTGATTTTTTTAAAAACAGATATTTACTGATTGAAAATCTGGAATAAAACAATACGAAGTGTGGGTGTAACATTTATTTTCAAAGGCACATGAACCGATAAAAGGAACATTTGTAGTAGGTTTTACTGGCAAAGTTCAAAGCACTATAAAGATAGGAATGGCTCATTGAAGCCACAAAAATGTAAATAAACCCAATGCCTTTGTATTTCTGCACCCACAGATCAGTGTCTCGGCTGATTAATACTGATTTATGTGATCTTATTACTTAATTTCCCTCATCCTTTGCTAACCACAAGGCTTATCATCAGCCATGTTTTTAAAATTAGCCTGTCTTTATTCCTAGATCAAATTGCAATTATATATGATTCTTCTAAATCCCCACGAACTAACTTGAGAGGTTTTCTAAGATTTTGAAGCTCAAATGCTCATTTTAAAGCTGGTGATAATAAAAGTTATGGCATAGTTTTAACTAAATTAGGTCTTCACTAGAAAATCAAAAACAAACTTACTGCCATTAAGCCCATTTTGGACTCCTGGCGATCCTTTAGGGCAGGGTCGGACTGCCCGTGGTCTCCCCTAAGCCCTAACAAAACAGCTTCCTTCATCCGTTGGGCTTTTTTAAACATAGCCATTTTATTGATCTACATCATGTACCATGACAGTCGATGTTTTAAATATATTTGAAAGAGATGTGTAATTGTCACCACAATGGAATATAGATCATTTTTTCCATTATTGCATCCATCATCATTGGCTTCTCATTTCTCTCCAACCTCCTATATCATAACCCTGTGAAGCTATTCATCCAGTTATTTTCACTATAAATTTACCTATCCTGGATTTCATTTCAAGAAAATCATTAAATACAACAACAACAACAACAAAACTGACAGAGTGATGATGAGTACAAGAATGAAGAAAAGGTTCTAAAATTGACTCTGTTGATGATTGTACAGTTCTTCTCACTATGACTGGACTACTGAATTTAGATGACTTGTGAATTTTATGTCAATAGAACTGTTTAAAAGAAACCATCAATAACAAAAATTTTAAAAACCTTAATCCAAAAGAAAGCAGAAAATAATAAGAACTAATCATCCATTTTAATTGAACTCCTTTGCAATTAATTATAACTCAAATTAGCATGTAATGGCACTTACCATTGTCACTATGTAAAGAAAAGGTCAAGCATGTAATGGCACTTACATTCTGTAAAGAAAAGGTGCCTGGCCAATGTATCTTCTCATGCGTGGCCACCACCTGCCAAGTGGAGGCTTGTGCGTTGCCATGATGCAGAACAGGTTTTGGCAGAGTTTCCAGATCAAGATATCTAGGAAGGGCTGGTGATCTATTTCCATAAATTAACCTAAAGAAACTCACTGCCAGGGAGTCCATACCAACTCATGGGGACCCTATAGGACAGGGTAGAATTGCCCCATAGTAAGGCCTGTCTTTCTCCCGCAGAGGAGCTGGTGGTTTCAAACTGCTGACCTTGAAGATCACAACCTAATGCATCACCATGGCTCCACCAAAGAAAATCCTGGCGATCCTGGGGATGGCACCAGACTGCAGTGCTTAGTGTGTTGTGCATGGGGCCCATGAGTAGCAATTAACAAAGATTTCTATTAATTTAGAATTGGATAATTAATTAGGTGATTTCTAATATTCTGGCGATTAAAACTAAAAAAAAAAAAAGCAAACAAATATCGAAAAGGAAAAGAAAGGGAAGAAAAAAAAGGCAAAGAGAAGAGAAATGTACTCTAATATTTCCCATTGTGGTCATTCATTTTGATAATTTCCTTTATATATGGTTAGTCCTTTATTCATTGGTTTTTATATATAATTGGCCATATTTTATGTTTAAGTAAAGTTGTTGATTGGTTTGGGAATTCATTTTAACAAGAGCAACAAATAGGTTATTAAAATTTACATGTTTCCCCCTACATTTAATTGGGACTAAGAAGAGATAGTAAAGAAGAATAATCTGTATTTTGAAGGAGGAATTATAAAGCACAATATTTTGCTGTAGCTGACTATGTGTTATAGTAAACTGCTGTAAGACCCAGCCATAAAATGCTCTTATGTTTCAAAACAAAACAAAAGTTGACATCAAGTTGATTCCAATTCACAGTGATCCACGAGTATCAGAGGAGAACTGTGTTCCACAAGGTTTGCAATGGATATGATTTTATCAGAAGCAGATTGCTTAGTCTTTCTTCCAAGGTGCTGCTGCTGGGGGATTTGAACCCTGACCCTTAGGTCAGCAAAGCATGTTCAATGTTTGCACCACCCAGGAGTCAAAGAAGTTGAATGAACATTGCATACCACATCAGAGAGACTGCAAAAAATACATCTGCTGTTCTGCTATGTTCACTACCATATGACTTGACTATAGTTGGATATAAAAGTTTCAGAATTTCTAAGTAGATAATGTCATCATATTAGGGATATCATTTAAGAATATTTTATGTATAGGAATTCCAATAGATTATATCAGCTATCTGTTCTGGCAACAGTTTTTTCTACCTATGTTTCTCAGGAAGCAGTATGCTTCCTTTAAGTATCTTATTTCCCTTAAAACCTCTGACTCTAGAAGTCCCGTGTTGCATACATCTTTGGCGATCTTTTTTAATCACCATTATCTCCATAGGTGCTTGCCACTTTTTATAATGAGGCAAGTTTGATAACATGCTATCCTGATTGTGTCAAGAGAAGAAGTAAAGTGGTATCAACTAAGCTTTATTTCCAAACTCCAAGGCAAGCGGACACATCAGCATAGTTGTTGTTTGTTAGATAAATGCCAGCAAGCCTACATCCCCGCCCCCCTTTCTTTCTTTATATTCACCTGGAACAGCAGAGGAAGGAGGGTCAGGAAGAGGAGGAATGTGCTTAATTACCTCCATGAACAGCTCTCTCTCTTTTTAAAAAAATATCTAGCTATACTGTTTATTTTGCTATGAAAAACATTTTTCTTGATCTTTCCTTTTATAATAGTGGTCTCATACTAACATTGCATAATGTCTTTCTAATTCATCCATTTCACGAACTGTTTGACAGTTTCATCATGATTTTTCGGTGCTGCATTGTATTCCACTGAACATATGAAGCATAGAGTTTGATTAACATCATTATAACTACAGAGTATTTCAACAGATATCTATAAGGGTCCATATCTAAGAAAAAGTTCTCATACACATCATCATCACCTTTAAAAAAAGGAGAGTTTTGCTCCTATTTAATCACTATAAAACAAAATTATTTGGGGGCAATTTATCTAGGGATGAAACAGAGTAAGGCCTTTTCTAGTTGCTAAAGACAGAAATAAAAGGAGAATTACAAATAAGATGTATTTAGTTTATAACTTTTATTTCACGAGCCAAACTGCCTCTTCGTTTATTTTCTTTTCAGATACATCACAAGCATAGCTATAATTTAAATCTATAATAAGACACTTCACATTAAATGGCATGAACCCAAGCAAATGATGGTTTAGCCCAAAGGCTTGAAATGATACCTTAGTCTAAGCCAAGTGTAAAGCATAACCTTATGAATGTCCTACAATCCTCTTCATGATGAAACACTAACTTCAAAAGCAGTATCAAAATTCATAATATCTCAAAGGCAAAGTAGGTGCTAAATAAAAATATCAATCGCTGTGTTTTTTAAAATCACGCGTTCACTGCCTTGATCGGTCCCCTACAGTCCGAAGGTAAAAAGGAGGTCGTGGGAATAGTCAGCGGTCCTTCAGCGGATGTTCATCATTAGACTCTTTTCAGGCTAGGCAGGGCTGGTTCCTTATTAAATCTTAGTTTTGAAGCCAGAAGCCAAGCCAAGCCCGAAGCACAAAGGAACCAGAAATGCCTGATTCGGCTTGTGGGATCACCTGCGGGATCTGTCCACACAGCCATGACCAACCGGTGGGCCAACCTCTGCTGACTGAGCGCCATGAAATGAGCGTTAAAATTAGAAGTCTCCAAAATAGACACTCCGACTGTTTCTCCTGCAGGCACTAATCTAAGGATTGTCTTCCTTGGTCAAGCCCAAATTCAACTCTCCCCTCAGCCTCA